GTAGAGTATCTGCTTTCCTAGTTCTCACACTTCCTGCCCCAACCTCAATGTAAGGAAAGGACAGTCTAGGTTGAAACTAGCTCTCTCCCAGGACTGGCTACTGTCAATGAGGAAGACCATAGGACTGTGCACATTCCCACATCCAAGGGTGCACAGGGACGGAGAATGGGTCCTTAGTAAAGGTCCTTTCGTCCCTTAACAGTGGTTTCAAAGGAAAGCAGTAATTCCCTACTGTGCAATAATCTTTTCCTCAAAATGACCAAATAAAGGGGGTGGGTCAGGGCAGTACCTGACCAAACTGAGAAGTTTCCTAACAACCTTAGGAGATTTCGGGACTAAGTCCTTAGTCCACAATTGAAGACATTACCCACAAAAAGTGGTGGCAGCACCAAAGCAAAATGACTACCAGAAGAATTAACATCAACAGATTAGAGCTCTTCTCTGAGAGAGAACAGCTTGTTGCTAACTTGAAAAGAAAGTTAAGCCAACACACAGTTGGCAACAGTGGAGCAGAAAAGGAGTGGGCAGCTTTCAGAGATTTGGTGTTCAGCACTGCCTTTGCTCATCTGGGTCAGAACACTCACAAACATCAAGATTGGTTTTATGAAAATGATGAAGAAATTCAGAAGCTGCTAAATGAAAAATGAGAAGTCGGCAGGGTTTACCAGTAGGATAGTTCATCCATCTCTAAGAAGGCAGCATTTAATTCAATCAAAAGTAAAGTACAAACAAAGCTTAGAGAGATGCAGGATTCTTGACCAATAAGAAGGCAGATGAAATTCAGTTTTATGCTGATGGTAACAATCCAAAGCGCTTTTATGATGCCCTGAAGCCTATTTATGGGCCAAAGACCTGTGGTGCATCTCAACTACTCAGTGCTAATGGATCCACATCGATTAGTGATAAGGACATGATCCTAGAGAGATGGGCTAAACACTAAAGGACATGATCCTAGAGAGATGGGCTAAACACTTCCATAATGTTCTTAACAGACCATCATCAATCAATGTTGAGGTCATTGACCATTTACCTCAGGTTGAAGTCAATCCCTTCCTAGCTGAAGTTCCAACTGAAGAAGAGGTTTGGAATGCCATTAGGCTCCTTTCGTGTGGCAAAGCACCTGGTGCTGATTCTATTCCAGCTAAGATTTACAAGGTAGGGAGTCCATTGCTCATACAAAAGCTGACTGAAATCTTCCAGGTTATATGACAAGAGGAGGTTATCCCCCAGGAGTTCAAGGATGCCCCCATTGTCCATCTCTATAAAGATAAAGGAAATAGATTGTCCTGTAACTATCACAGAGGGGTCTCTCTCTTAGTCATTGCTGGCATGATTTTTTGCCAGAGTCCTCCTCAATAGGCTGATTCTTAAACAAGAAGATGATCATCTACCTGAGAGTCAATGTGGCTTCAAAAAGGGCTGAAGAATAGTGGATATGGTGTTTGCTGCCCGATAACTCCAGGACAAATGCTAGGAGCAGAACGGAGGTTTGTACACAACATTTACAGATCTGACCAACACCTTTGATACTTTCAGTCATGAGGGCTTATGGAAAATTATGTCAAAATTTCGTTGCTTGGAAAAGTTCATCAAAATTGTACGTCAATTTCATGATGGCGTGCTTGCCTGGGTTCTGGATAACGGACAAAGCTCTCGTGTTTTCTCAGTCACCAATGGAGTGAAACAAGGCTGTGTGCTTGCTCCCATGTTTTTAAGCATGATGTTTTCATTCATATTGTCAAATGCCTTCAATGAGGATGAACACAACATCAAGGTCAGCTATTGCACTGATGGTAAATTCTTCAACTTGGAAAGGCTACGAGCCAAGACCAAAGTGGAGCGAGTGTTGGTGTGTGTTTCTGTTTGCAGATCACTGTCATTCAATGCAGCCTCTGGAGCTGAGATGAAACAAAGTATGGATCAATTCTCTGCTGCTTGTGCTAATTTTGGCCTAACAATTAACACTAAGAAAACACAGGCACTCCATCAGCCACCACCACATCATCCATATGTGGAATCATCAGTTACAGCAAATGTCGAAGTTTTGAATTCTGTGGATAAGTTCACTTACCTTGGTAGTATACTTTCCAGAGATGTAGACATCGATATTGAGGTTGATGCACTCATTGCCAGAGCTAGCTCAGTGCTTGGGAGGCTCCGAAGGAAAGTGTGGGAGAGAAGAGGTATTAGATTGACTACCAAACTGTAAGTCTATAGAACTGTTGTGCTGACCTCATTGTTTTATGCCTGTGAAACCTGGACAGTATACCAGTACCATGCCAGGAAACTAAATCTCTTCCATTTGAATTGTCTTAGGAAGATTCTGATGATTACCTGATAGGGGAAGATAATAGACATTGAGGTCCTTTCTTGAACTAAACTGCCAAGCATCCAAACTCTACTTCAGAAAGTGCAACCCTGAGGGGCTAGCCATGCTGTTAGAATGCAAAATGTATATTTGCCAAAAAGACTATTTTATGGAGAATTCACACTGGGCAAGCGCTCACATGGTAGTCAGAAAAGGTGATACAAAGATATTCTCAAGGTCTCTCTTAAGAACTGTGGAATTGATTGTGTGACATGGGACACGCTGGCACAGGACTGATAAGGATGGTGTGCCCACATCAGAGAAGGTACTGTGCTCTATGAGCAAAGCAGAATTGAAGTAGCTCAAAAGAAATGTGAGATAGCAAATTTAGAGAATCCACCCCAAATGTTCACATGGATTACTTGTGCCTGACCTGTGGTAGAACATTCCAAGTTCTTATTGGTCTGATCAGCCACAGTTGGACACAGTGTAACTTGACTGTAGCATAGTGATGTCATTTTGGTCTTCTTCGAGAATGAAGGACAGCAATCAACCTGCCATTTATAGAGTGCTTAATACTTCTAAGGACTTCCATTTATTCCATTTTATTTGAGCCTCTAAACCAGGATTGGGCAAATGTAGGCCTCTAAAATAAGAATGATTTTTACATTTTAAATTTAATCCAGGTTTGGCCCAAGGGCCCCCCCCCCCCCACACTAAACAACCCTGCAGGTAAATAGGTAGTTCAAATATTATTAACCTCCATTTAACAGGAGAGAAAATTGTGGCTCAAGGATATTTGTAACTTGCCCCCAGTTTGTACCCCTGGGAGCACTGGGATTTGAACCCAGATTTCCTGGCTCCCAGTGAAGTGCTCTTTGCCTCTACTATACATTTATCTACCAAAATTTGCTCAAAAATTTATCCTTATTAGAAGAATCATCATGATACGGGGGGGGGGGGGAAGTGCTGGATTTGGAATCACAAGACCTGGGTTTGAATCCAGTCAGGACATTTGCTGCCTATGGGCAAATCATTTAATTTCTCTGGACCTCAATTTTCTCATCTGTAAAATGAGAGGACTGGACTAGAAGGCACCAGAGAGTCTTTCTAAGGTTAAATCTATGGTCCTATGATCTAAATGTATCTTCCAATACCAGGAAAACTCTCTGTATATATATAAATATTCACCCCCCCACCCCTACCTCCTTTTCATGGGAACCCTGCATAGACTCCTTAAACAGATTTCATTATGAAATGCACTCCTGAATTGTCCTCTCCATGTGTCATCTGACCCTGAACTCCCTTGCCTTACCAAGTCAGGCTCAGTAAGGGCCATGTTTCACAACCACAAAGAGGAAACAGTCCCTGACTGGGTAGATGACAGGAGACTTGTTATTGTTTGAATATACTTATTAGTATACCTCTTCATAAGCTCAAAGAACTGTGTAAAGAATGAGACTTTTTTTGGACAAGAATGCAATTTTGTTTTGCTTGATTATGTATGTTTATTACAAGGGATTTGTTTTTCCTTTCCCCTCCCCCCCCAATTTGGGAGGGGGAAAGTGAGAGGGAGAAAAAATGGATTTATTTTCATTGAAAGAAAATTTAATTTTTTATAAAAGAATTTATTATACATATATATATATATATATATATATTCTACAAAAGAGGAAATGGAGACACTGAGTTTTTCATTTCTAAAGGTTCTGTGCTGCCTAGACAACAAATAGATGTCAGGGCTCTATGCTATGCTGTTTTCTTGTAGTATCCAGTAACCCAGCTCTTCATGGGGGAAATAAAGGCAATGTTGTATAAGAAGGATATCAGAAAATCAGTTTACCTTCCCACTTGTTGATTAATTAACATTTTCACTGGGCTCTGGTCTTTCAGAGAGTATAGGAAGCAGATCCTACATACTGCATGGCCAGTCATCTAGAGGACATCCAATTTTCAAAATGCTAAAAAGTCATCACCACTGGTCATCAGTGCTTTTTAGCAAGGAAAGTACAGAAACTCGGGATTAAGTACTTTATGAAATATTCATTATAATGACTTTCTCTTTCAAGGTCTTATTAAGTATAACAGCACAATGTCTTACAACATTAAGGACGCTGTTAACCATGACAAACTGAGTTTACCCAAGGGTAGCTAATAGATTTTTATTTCAGTACTACTATCATCATTCCATTAATAGCCTGGTCTGCCAGTAAGACTAATTCCTCAACTCCTTCCATTTCAGAGAATTAGAAAAGGTTTCCTTTGGTTCTTCACAGTTCAAACAACTTAATTTGCTTTCTCTTGCCCAGGGATGACTCTTTGGGGTAAATCAGGAAGGAGCCAGGACTTGTCGCCTCACAAAGTGTTATGATGAGAGCTCGCTAGTTGGCTAAGGAAACTTAGTGTGGAAAAAAAAAATCAGAGGCCCTGATGAGGGGGGAAAGAGAGCTTTCCAATCTTCCTAAATTATCTCACTCTTACCTCCTGTCTATTAGCTCTCTCCCCTTTACACACACACACACACACACACACACCCCTTTCCAATCAGAGTCTTCAGTAACAAGAAAAATGTCCGTGTTCTTTTTTTTTCCCCACAGGTTTCATATTTGCCTTTGCAACGAGTATGCCTCTCTCTAGCTCTTGTATGGTCCGGTTGTTTCCTTGTGTAAAGGAGTTGTTCAGTTCTTTCTTGCCTGGTTTGGAAGTGTCTGAAGGACTTGGTTCTTGCAGCCTCATCTCCTTCCCCGCCCTCTCCCCCCTCTCCCCCTCCAGCTCCTGGCTGGAGGAGAGAGACTGTCAATCGTGGGCAAAAAGACAGAGCAGACAAAAGGTTATTTGTAAAGAGCTCCTTCCAGCCCCTCTACTCTTCTCCTCCTGCTCAAACTCAGAGCTTGAGCATTTAATAAGACTTCTCTGCCAAGAAGATTGAAAGGGAGAGAAGAAGAAGAAAGGTAGGTTTGTGGGGTTTGGTTTGCCTTTGTTTTTTCTCATCTTATTTGTTCTCCTCCAACCTATCTGCTGTTGAAGGTCAGGGCAGAAAGAAATCCATGCCAAGCTAGATGAGAAAGAGACTCTTGGAGAATCTGGGGATGAAATGAGAAAAGGGACTAATTCTCAAAATAAATGGGGAAGCATAAGGGGTAAAGCAGAGAAAGAGAGTGACATACCTCTCAGTGAGCTAGGAAAGTGATTTTCTTCCCTCGGGCAAAAAAAAAAAAAAGAAAAGATAAGCAATTTGACATCCAGCTTCTAACTGTTTGAGTGGATCTGGACAATTATGAATGAGAATAGGTTTCCCACAGTGAGATATCAGCCTGCCCTTCAGAACCATGGCTTGGCTGTGAAGGATGAGAGATACTTTTTAAAAAAAAATCAGTGTTCAGATATTTTCCTAGAATACATAAGCCACGTTTAGTCTTATTATTAAAGTTTTAGCTTTATTCAATTGAGAGTTTTTCTTTTTTAAAAAAAAACAAACCTGTAATTCCTAAAAAAGAAACTTGGTTTTGCTGTATAATATAATAATATAAAGAGTATGTGTAATATAATATTCATTGACTTCATCCTGAGCATCCTAACCAGAGAACACAGTGCCAAGATTATACCCTCGACATAAAGGGGAGTTTATCTTTTAGGTTTCCTAAAAAATCTCTCTTTTAAAGTTCTTTGAGTATAAGGCACAGGAGGACCAAAAGCTATCTCCTTCTTCTATAATGACTTAATATGAACAGGAAAGCAATTAGCAAAATTAAAAATTAATACATCACCTTTGCCCAAATGTTTCAACCCGTTTCTTTACAACATTGTGATGAGAGATGTGGTAAAAAGTACTGTTTCTCCGAAAGATGAGAAAACTGAGGCTCAGAAGGCAAGGTCATTCCGGTAGAGAATATAAAAGTCAGGATTGAAACCCAGGTCCAGCATTCTTCCTGCTCTACAATTTGCTTACTTCTAAACTTGCTGAATCCTGAAGGAAGACAATTTCCACAATTTTCATCAGGCTGGAAGCACTTTGATATTAAATTTTACCCCTAATCAAGTTCTACAATACGGTTGTGCTTATCTGAATATGTCTGAATACGTCTGAATATGCCTGAAAAGGATTATTTAGCTTGAAGATTATTGTCATGCTTTTAACCTGTGATCTCAGAAATTATAAGCATGGCTCAAAGAATTGACCATCCCAGCACAAATTTCTTTGAAGATAATAGAGGAGCAGAAGAGAAAACAACCAGTTGTGGCATAGATGGCACTGTGACTTTGTTTTCTTAAAACTCAGTATAATTCTCTAGGATGATATTTTTGGTTTCCTCAGTACTCTTAGCTCTCCTTTCTCCCATTATAGGATGTGAATGGAACCAAACCCAAATAGCCCTTTCTGTTTAACTCATCAACATTTCTTCATTTCCATGCCCTACGTGCTGGTGCCCAGGAATGACATCAGCCGCCTGCACCAGGGGATGGCAGCATCAACAGCAAAAACCTCTCAAGCTGCCTGGCCCTGTTAGTTTTGGCCATAGAGGAGTGGGGGAAGAATTTTTCTTTTTAAATCTCCCTCTAGACCCAACCATTCCAAAGTTTAGGTAGTGCCAAGGATCCTTACAGAACCCAAACTGGAAACTCTCAGTCCCTATTGTCTTGGCAAGGATTCCTGGCTCAAACGCAAGCCTTTCCCTGTTCTGTATTTTCCTCGATAACATCAAAAGCTACATCAGCATCCCTTGGAAGACATTTAACGGACTCTCCTCAATGCTTTTGGCTTTTTAGGTTTGGGTGTTTCTGTAACTCAGATACAGTCAGTAGAAAAATTTAAAGTACATGTGTTTGACCAAAGCATCCAAGTAAATTAGTACAGTTTGCTCCAAATCAGCCTGGGGAATTTTTCATCTGTTAGCCCTGGAAAATAAATGACTTTTCTGGATGTTGTGAGGATTGGGGGGTGGTGGGGAGTTGGGGGCAGAGCATTAAGCTTGATGCATTTTAACAAGGAAAGCAACTGATATATCACATTTTTCTCCAGACATTCCCCCGCTGGCTGAGCAATGGTCGAAGCAATTTATCTGCAATTAGTAATGGAGGGAAAAGATAATTCAGTTTCAACCTGTAATTTATAAAGTATTAGAAAAAAGGAAAAGGAAAAAAAAATCCTTAGACAGTGTTTGCCAGGTTTGGAACTTTCCACCTCTGTGCCTGGCTGAGTCTGTGGCAGACTGCTTTATTCTCTGGCCTAGATGTGCTCAGCAAAAATATTTCCGTGGTACCTGTGCACACTGCTCAATTCATTCTGTCTCTTGAAGAGGGCATTCTTAATATCTACAGTAATGAGTACTCCTGGGTATGGCTGGGAAATACAAAAGCAGCAGAGGGCATGGTCTACCCCTGCCCTTATTATTGCTAACTGGGGAGAAAAGACTTAAATATATGAAGGGAAAAAGGAGAGGAATTTCAAGGCACCATATAATAGCTAGCATTTATAAAATAGCTTGTGTTTATATAGTACATTAAGGTTTGCAAAGGACTTTGCAAATATTTTGTCATTTGAGCCTCATAACAACTCTAGGAGGTAGGTGCTATTATTATCTGCAAATATTTTGTCATTTGAGCCTCATAACAACTCTAGGAGGTAGGTGCTATTATTATCTCCATTTTACAGAGGTTAAGTGACTTGCCCAGGGTCACTCAGCTTGCAAGTGGCTGAGGAAGGTTTGAACTCGTGTCTTCCTGACTCCAGATCCAGTATTTTGTCCATCATATCATCTAACTGTGGATAGAATGTATAGCGGAAAGAGTGCTGGTCAAGAGACCTGAGTTTATGTCCTGGCTTTGATGCTTCTATTAGCTATGAGACCTTGGGCAAGTCACAACCCCTTGGAACATTAGCCTCCTTATTTATAAAATGAATAAAATCATACTGCACTTCTTGTCTCACAAGGGTATTATAGAGTAAGTGCTTTGCAAACCTCAGGGCACTTGCCACGTATGTATATGTGTCTGATTCTGGTTCAGATATGTGACTTCATTTACTGGAAGGAACTTTCAAACTCCCTACATCAAAGTAAATTGGCAACTACTCTGTACCTTGGGTTCATAGAGAGTTGTCTGAGGCACTAAGAGGTTCATCAGCTTACCTATGGGCACTCAGCCAGTAGGTGTCAAAGGCCAATTAAACCTGAGTTATTGTCATTGTGGTGGGGTATTCCTGAAGGAGGAGTAACATGGAAGAAGGCTATAATCAGAAAGGAGTTACAGGATAAAAATGGTCCTTGGGAAATGCATCTTGACACTGAGACTAGAGGCAGGGAACCAATCTAGAAAGTTATTACTAGATTGAATAATTAGTGGAATGCCAATCAGTTAAAGAAAAACTTAGTCAATGAAATCTTTGCTGTAGTGATGGCATACCTAGATTTTAGTGAGGCATTTGGCAACATCCCTAAGAAGGACATGGGTAAACTAGCCAGTGGTTCTCAAACTTTTTAGTCTCAGGATCCCTTTGTGTTCTTAAAAATTATTGAGGACCCTGGCCCCTAAGAAACTTTGTTTATGTGGGTTATTTCTATTGATATTTACTATCCCCTGCAAGGGTCTTAGGGACCACCAGAGGTCCCCAGACCATATTTTGAGAACCACTGAGCATACAACATGTTCAGAGTAAAGTAATCAGGGTACTGAAAGGCCTTGAATTCATGACATATAAGGAATGGTTGAAGGCTTTAAGGACCTTTGGGCTAGAGATAAGAAGACTTGGGGTAGGGGGATGTCAATTTGTCAAGCGTCAAACATTTGAAGACGTGGAAGAAGGCTTAGACTTGTACTGTTTGTTCCCACAAGCAAGAATTAAAAGCAACCAGAAGAAATTGGAAAGAGGCAAAATTAGGCTCAAGATCAGGAAAAATCTCACAGTAATTAGAGTTGTGCAAGAGTGGATTGGGCTGCCTCTCTTATTGGAGAGTTTCACATAAGGGCTGGATGATCTCAATGTAGAAGGGATTTTTGATCAGGGCCAGGTGGGGTTACATGTCCCTGAGATACATTCCAAAAGTGACATTTTGGAATTTTGGGAAAGTCCCAATTTCTTCAAGAACAAGATGGAGAAGTATAAGATGAATGAGAATAGTTAGGTGGATTCAGGACTGGGTCATTGATCAAACTCAAAGTGTCAATTAAGAGAGGAAGGCCTCAAAGAATTGGAAATTGAGAGGATGCCCACCAATTGGAGAATGGCTGAGCAAGTTGTGGTATATGAATGTAATGGAATGCTATTGTGCTATAAGAAACAATGAATAGGCTGACTTCAGAAAAACCTGGAAAGACTTGTGTGGTCTGATGCTGAGTGAACAGAACCAGGAGAACTTCGTACACAATAACAGCTATGTTGTACGATGACTATTATTGATAAATGTAACTCTTCCCAGCAATACAAGGATCTAAGACATCTCCAAAGGCCTCGTGATAGAAAATGCTTATCCACATCCAAAAAAAGAAATATGGAGTGTGAAAGCAGATCGAAGCATACTATTTGCTATTTTTTTTCTTCTGTTGAGTTTTGTTTCCTCTTTCTGGTGGTTCCTCCTGTTGGTTCTAATTCTTACTTACAACATCACTAAAGTGAAAATATGTTTAACAGGAATGTATATGTATAGCCTATATCAGATTGTGTGCCATCTTGGTGAGGGTGGTAGGGAGGGAAGGGGAGAAAAATTTTAAACTCAAAAGTATATGGAAGTGATTGTTGATAAATCAAAACATATTAATTAAAAAAATAAAGATGCGGAAATAGAAAAAAAAAAAGAGAGACAGGAAGGCCTGTAGTGAAGGGCAGCTAGATTCTTTCCTTGGCCTGTCCTGATCAACATTTTTATTAGCGACATGAATAAAGACATAGATGGCATGTTTATAAAACTTTCAGATGACAAGAAGCTGGGAAGAATGACAAGTACATCAGATGTCAGAATTGTTTGTTGTTGTTTTTTTTTAATCTCAATAGATAAGAACAATAAAGTCATATCTTTTAAGATGAAATTTAGTGAGGATAAATGTATCCTTCTATGTTTGATTTTGAAAAACCAACTATACAATGGGTATAGAATGGCCAGAATGGGAGTAGATATGGCCAGAGAAGAGTCGTTCATTGGAGGAAAACCCAGGAGTTTTAGTTGCCTGCAGGTAAAATATGAATCAACAGTGTGATGTGACCAACAGGAAAGTGCCATTTTAGATGACAATGTCAGCAATGCCATGTACAGAATGAGAGAGGTGATAGTTTCCTTGTGTTCTGCCTTGATCAGACCATACCTGGAGCAGTGTGTTCAGTTCTGAGGACCACGTTAACAGGTAGCATTTTACATAGTGCTTTACATATGTATCTTATTTGAGCCTCATGACAACCCTAGGAGGTGGGTACTACTGTTATCCTCACTTTATGTATGAGGAAGCTGAGGCAGACAGGTTAAGTGACTTACCCACGGTCACGCAGCTAGTAAATTTGTGAGGCAAGATTTGAACTCAGGTCTTCCTGACTCCAGGTTTGGGGCTCTATCCATTGCAAAACCTAGCTGCTATTTGACCAGCAGCTTATCCCAAGAAGGACAACTAGAATGTGAAGGGACTAGGAACTGTACTGTAAAAGAATCCATTGAAGAAAAATACCAAAAAAAAGTTTACATTAAGGTTCACAAAATACTTTCCTCTCAAAAAAAACTGTGAGGTCGGTAGTGTGTCATTAACTCCATTTTCCGAATGAGATAACTGAGGCTAAGAGCTGCTTTGCCCGTAGTCACAGAAAAAGCAATTACAAGAGGCAGAATTTGAATGCAGATCTGCTAAACACAAACCTATTGCTCTTTTTACTATACTACGATACTTTTCCCACCAAGAAATGGGAAAGGTAAGGGGAGGAAGTAAGCATTTATTAAGAACCTACTATGCTCAAGGCACTGTGCTAAATGCTTTACAAATATCATCTCATTTGATCCTCACAACAACCCTGAGATAAAGGAGCCATCATTATCCCCATTTTACAGTTGAAGAAACTAAGGTAGCAGAGGGTAAGTTACTTGCCCAGTGGAGGTCAGTGTCAGAGGTGGAATTGTCAGAGGTCAGAGTTCTCTCCTAACTCCAAGTCCAGAGCTCTTTATCTAGCAAGACATCTGGAAATGCGAAAGTCTTTATACTATTAAGTTTACTTCATGCCCTCATGGTAGATACATAACAGGCCCTAATCTCTAGAAGTAATTTAGAATAAGAATAACTCAAAAAATATAGTTGTTATTAAGATATGATATTCACCCTTTTTGGTGATTTTTAAGATATGATCTGTTCTCCTGTGGTAGCAAAGAACTGGAAACAAAATCAGTATCTTTCAATTGAGGAATAGCTGAACAAACTGTGGTATAAGAATATAATGGAATATTAGAGTGCAGTAAGAAATTATAAATGCAAGGAATTCAGAGAAATATCAGAGTGAGGCATTTATATAAATAGTGCCATGCACTTTATAGTTATTACTTTATTTGGTCTTCACAACAACCATGGGAGGTAGGTACTGTTATTATTTCCATTTTACAGATAAGGCAAACAAAGGTTAAGTTACTTTCCCAGGTTTATACAGCTAGTGTCTGAGACTAGATTTGAACTCAGGTCTTTCCTGACTCCAGGCCCAGTGCTTTATCCACTGAGCCACTGAGCTGCTTAGAAATATGTATGAAATAAACAATCCAAAGAGTAATACACAATTACAATTATGTAAATGAAAACATCCTAAAGGGAACACTACAGGGGTTGTATACCTTTTCAGACAGTCACAATATTAATTGTTTTTACTTTGCCATTTTCCTTTCTTACAAGGTGTGGGTGTAGAGAGAAAGGTTATATCCAAAATGAATGTGAAATAAATCATAGGATCATCAGTCTAGAGTTAAGAGGGTCCTCAGATTACCTTTCATCCAAACCCTCATTCTATAGATGGAGAAACTGAGGCTCAGGGAGGTAAAGTCACTTGTACAAAGTCACACTAGTAGTAATCATTCAAGATAAGACTTGAATTTATGTCTTCTAACTCCAAACCAATTCTCTTTTCATCCTGCTACAAAGATTTCAGAGCTAAGTCATTCCACAATACCGTGGTATCTCCTTCAAATTTTGTTGTTTGTTTTACTGACAAGGAGAATAAATTAAGACAGAGGGTATTTGCCTAAGTCAGAAGATTAGGAGGCAAAGAACAGCGCCTACAACTCAGCTTCCTGACCACCAGATAGGTAAGTATTTTTTTTCTACCTTACTGACTTGCTTTGAGAATTTACAGACTTCCAAGCAGAGGCCATCCCTTGGGGTGTCCACTTCTCTATGATTTTATTGGAATAGGGAACTCCTGGAGGAAACTCACTATACCAATGCAGATCACCTCCTGCTCTGCTACTGAAAGTCTGATAGGTACTGAAACTTTCAATGACTTGCCCACAAAGACACAGCCAGGATGGTGTGACTTGAATTTGGGCCTTCCTGATTCATACTAGGCCACCTCTCAAGTCATCAATAATTTTTTTAATCATATGAACTGCCATATCCTTTTTGGACAGACTATTGTACATCATTGATACTGATGTTAAGGATAGTGAACAAAGCATTTTGATTTTTACATCTATATTCTACCAAGCCTCAAAAAGCATCCTTGAATTCAGAATATGTTTTGTTTATACTTCTTCCAGGTAGAAAACCAAATGAATTGCATAAACCCTAAGGAATATTGACGCTAAAATAAGATTCTATATTTTAGGACTTTTTGGGGTCATTAGAGTAAAAAATTAATAAAAACAAACAGAATGGACGAAATGAATGAAAAGAATTTATTAAGCATTTACTATGTGTCAAGTACTGTGCTAAGCCTTGGAGTTAGAAATACAAAACCAAGACACTGCCTATCTTGTAAGAGCTTGCATCCTAATGGGAGAGGCACTAATGGAAGAGTGGTGGCCAGGGAAGAGGGCTGTGCTCTGGGGAAGTCATGGGAATGGTGAGTAGAACAATTGGACCATCCATTAACAAGTTCTTTTCAGGCCATTTCCATCTCACACTACCTGCACTTCAGCCATCATCCCAATCTCTCCTACTAAGGAAACTTGGACTCTGCCCCCCTTGCCTGCATATCTCTAATAGGCAAGCTTTCACCTTGTCTTGATCTAACTCTCCACACCACTTCTCAGCTATCTCCTGACCATCCTTCTATCCTTCTACTCTCCCTCCCCTTTCTAGCTCTCCCTAATGTGTTCCCTTCTCAATTAGAAAGTAAGCCCCTTGAGGTCAAGCACGTTCTTTCTTGTTGCTTCCCAACATAGTGCCGGGCATATAAGTGCTTAATAAATGTTATATCCACCCATCCACTCATCTGTTTACTAGCTAAATAAACATCTAACTATCTTTCCTGAAGCAAAGGCAGTGTCAAATTGATTACAGTTCTTATAGGAAAAGGTAGAAAGGTTGAGTGAGGGGTGGGGGTGGGGAGGAGGGGATGTACAGTACCTGCAGAGGGGGAAAAAGGTCAAGGTGAAGATGAAGAAGCGTTGTCCCACAGAGCCCAGTGGCTTAGCAACTGTTAGGTATGATCTCTGGTGCTCCAGGGAACTCAGATTACAATAGTGTCCTATTTTGATATATATAGTTATACCCAAAGAAGGAACCTTAGAGATTGACTAGCCCAGCTGCCTTATTTTACAGATATGGAAGCAAGACCCAGAGAAGTTAAGGAACTTCCTCAATGTCACACAGTCTTAGTGACAGATTTGGGACGAGAATGTAGACCTCCTGATTACCAATCCAATGTCCTGCCCGCTACTCCATACTGCTTTTATGATAGTATTGCAGTGACTTCCCCAGCCCACACTTCCTGAAGGCCAGGTGTGCTACATTTCACCCCTCCCCCAGGGTACTCCAGTAGCATTAAGAGGGTTTGCTGGTATCTAGTCTATCTGCTGTTGTCTTAAGCCCCTACTAAGGGTGTTCCCCCAGTTTTAGGATTCCCCTACACCCCTAGTTCCATTTGGCCACTTAACAGTCAGATTAATTTTTACAAACGAATATTTGATTCAAATGCAGAGGAAAAAATATACAAACATACTCTCTGCAATACATGAGGGCATAATCATTCTCCCTCCTTATCCCCTCACCTCTCAATATCTCTACGGTTTCTAAGAAGGGGATAGGGATTAGGTTCACAGAATAACTCAGTTCCTATGTAGAATAGTTCCATCAAGTTCCAAGTTTCAAGCCTGGGGTGGGAGGTCAAAGACCAAGCACCCTGGCTTCTTGGGACTACCCTGCTGGACTGCCAGGAACATCTGGCCTGGAATCCTGCCTACAAGGTCATCATGGCTTGAACGACGGCTCAGGAGGACTCTACCACCTGCACCTAGAACTCAAAAGAACAAATAGAGCAGGAACAAGGCCCCAACCCCGATTCTGGGGGCCGCAGGCCCTAAAGTGTGTGTGTGTGTGTGTGTGTGTGTGGTAGAGATTGTCTTCCCTCCACCCAACTCTGTTCATAGCTCCCAAGCTATGGGTGAACAACACCTTTAACCCCCTGAACACTGCCAGAAAGAGAAAGAGACCCTTCCAGGCTGACGCTTTTAAAGACAGCCTGTTTCCATTATGCAACCACTGAAAAAGACTTCTCCCGCATACTGGTGGAGGAATGCAGAATATCTTCTGTCAGAAGCAGGTCCCTAAAGTCTTCCATTTGGGTGCCCAGTCTTAGGTGTTCTAGGCAAATCCCTATTACAATAGAAGCAAATATTTTTTATTTCAAATATTTTAAAGGAGGTATTTTCTCTAAGATAACGTATTATTCTCATTTCTCTATTTAAAAAAACTCACCTGAAGTTGCACCCAAGTGCAGGGAATTTCAGACAAAAACAATCCGTTTCCAAAACACCAAGTGAAACTGGGAGTCTTTTTTGGAAGTCTTCTACATCATTTTCTTTTTTAGCATTATAATTAAATTCCTTCTCAGTAGCTGGCAACAGCTGAAGAAATTAATAGCTGGGAGTTCAAATTCTGACTCTGTCATAGGTTAAAAGCTGCAGTTTCCTCACTGTTAAAGAGGAAACTTGGGGGCACCTAGGTGGCACAGTGGATAGAGCACCGGCCCTAGATTCAGGAGGACCCGAGTTCAAATCTAGCCTCAGACACATAACACTTACTGGCTGTGTGACCCTGGGCAAGTCACTTAACCCCATTGCCTAGCCCCCCCCCCCCAAAAAAAGAGGAAACTTAAAGAGGCCTTGTTGGATGCTTGATAAATTATCACAGAGAAAGTCACTTAGACTAGTTAGAAACATGTCATTTATTTTAGAAATACTCTGCCTACTACCGCAGAGAGAATAGACAGCACAATCTTGCTTCCTGAGTTTGGGAGAGTATAGAGTAAGTTAATGTACTTTAAGGTATGACATGTACATATATATAATGTATATATATACATTATTATATATATATAGAGAGAGAGTTATTTAGTGCTAAAAAGGGCAGAAAAAATACTGGTACATAAAGTAAAATAATGATGTCAACTGGTAAAAGATATAAGGTATTGTCTCTTTCAGAAATGGATATTTTGATGCCTGGAAGGTGAGAAGGAAAAGAATGTTTACTTAATAAAAACTGTTAAAATGTGTTAAAAAAAAAGTAATCAGATGAGATTCAGGCAGTTTAGGACAGAAAATGAACTGTGGCCTGAATAAGAACAAGTCCCTTTGTAAAAGATGTAGGATGATACCTTGTTTGCATGTGAATAGTTTGGTGGTTTAAAGGGAGCAGAGAAAGAACTTCTATTTATTAAAACTGGGAAAATATGAGCAAAAAAAAATAGTTCCAAGGACATATAATGACACACATGATGAGAACTTAGAGTTGCAGGGTCATACTTAATTTCATTTGCATACAACTGATTTAAAAGAGAAAAATCATAACAATTTGGAAACTGATGTATGATTTTTAAAGGACTGTTGCTATCATGCTATGTCTATCATGTATTTGGTGAGTTATTACCTTTTAGTGAGAAATGAGTAAATGAGCATCAGAGACTGAGGCTAAAGAAGGGAAGGGAAAAGAAAGGGAATAAGCATTTATATAGCACCTACTATGTCACTTTACAAATATTGTCACAATTGATCCTCACAACAACGTTGCAAATTAGTTTGCTAGTATTATCCCCATTTTACAGCTGATGAAACTGAGGCAGACAGAGGTGGAGTGAGTTGCCTAAGGTCACCCAGTTAGTGACCCAGTGGTCACCCAGGCCAAATTTGAGTTCAGGTCTTCCTGACTCCATGCCTGACTCTTTCCCCAAATGCAAGGCTTCTCCTACACAAATACTGACTGTTTGGAAAGAACCTCAGCTGCATTGAAGGAGCCTCTGTGACATACTTCTTGCTCTCTGCTGCCCTCCTCTGGTTGAGAGGGAAAAGCAGAAAGGGGAAAGAAGTTTTGCTGCAGCTACATAGGAAGAAATACTGAGATGTCATTGGGTGTTGCAGGATCCTGGTGAGTGGAAAGCGGGATAGGCTATTTGATTGGTTCAGAATCAGCTTGAGCTGTCTTGCCCTGAGCTCTGTTTGCTACAATTTGATTGGACAACACAGCATCCTGATAATAGATTGGTCTGGGAGGCCATAGTCCTCAGAGAGTCAGTCTAAGGAGCTGGACAATTCTCTGGCTTAAAGGGAACTGGGTACAAAAAAATTAACGGTCAATGCTTTTTCGAAGTCATTTTAAGGACACTTTTCAGTTTGAAGAGCTTGTAAAGTCCCTCCTGGTTCAAGAGTTGAAGGGAAGAGGATTTATCCAGTTGTAGAATTATAAGAATCCACAGACAATCAGTTAGCAGGGAAGCAGTTTTATGCGGTGCAAGGTTCCTAATTGGACCAGTGATACCAAGGGCAATGGTCCAGAGTCATGACTCACTTCAAGCACACAAGTTTTCCTCCCTGGTACTCTTTCCTGACAGGTTCTGTCCCCATAGATATGGAGTGCATTGATGAGAGAGTACAACTAGGCTCACATGTGGATTGTGATATATATTATTTACGCACTTGCTATACCTGTGATATTATTTCTTTTGCCTTACTGTAAATGGTTATGTTTAAGATCTAAAAGTGGCATTCTTGTGAGTAACTGGTTTGTATAAACAGAAAGCAGTGTCCAAAGAGGTTGAAGAAGCTTCTCAATGTCACACAGAAATACACAATGGCAGATTTGGGATTAGAATATAAGCCTCCTGATTCCCAGGTCAGTGTCCTGTCCTGACCCCAGACTACCTTTATGGTAATATGCAGGGCCCTGGCTCAAGAGGGGAAAGTGGTGGGTAACCCCTGTCCCAAAGCCCATCCCAGCCCCACCATGTCTCACCAACTCTATCTCAAATTATAGGTGGATAGAGGGAATGTATTTACTCTCAACGGGGTTACCCCTAGTACAATGAAAGAGATGGAATTGAATCACAGGGTGGTGATCTTTCTCTGGGAAGCTAAACCTGCGTGTTTGAAAGGAGGTTGGAGGGAGAGTGAGTAGGTATCCACAAGCCTCGGTGAGAGGTATGGTGCTCTATCTTGGGAGATACATCCTATGCCCTGGCCGTTACAATGGGATGATGGATAGAATCTAGTGTGGAGTGTACCTAAACAGACACTTTTGTTATTCTCCTTTTCTTTAGAGCTGAAAGCCAAAATGAAAATCACAGCCGTGCTGGTTTTGCTGAATTTGCTGCTAGGAGGACATGCCATGTCCACCACCCGTCTCTCTTGCTACAGGAAGATTTTAAAAGATCACAACTGTCACAATATTCCTGAAGGAGTGGCAGATCTTAAACAGATTGATGGACACCTCCAGGACCACTTCTGGGATGGAAAAGGATGTGAGATGATCTGTTATTGCAACTTCAGTGAACTGCTGTGCTGCCCAAAGTAAGGGGGTTTTCTTTCAGTGCCTCAATAACACAATAAACTTACATGAGAATGTAGAGGGCACTTCCTTTTATGTCATGTGATGTAGTAGAAAGAACTCTAGATTTGGAATCCCAGGACAGGAATTGAATCCTAGATCTCTTACTGCCTTTGTGATGCCGGGCAAGTCACTTAACCTCCCGAGGCCTCAGTTTCCTCATTTGTAAAGTGAAGAGTTTGGACTCCAGTGAGAAGAGCCTGCCTCTGCAGTTTGAGGAACCAGATTCAAGTCCCACTTGATAATTACCACCTTTATGACCTAAGATAAGTCATTTAATTTCCCTAGGCCACAGTTTTCTTATCTTTAAAATGATGGGGTTAAAGAGAATGCTTGTACACAATAACAGCCACGTTGTGCAAGGACTAATATTGATAAACTTAACCCTTCCCAGCAATACAAGGATCTAAGACATCTCCAAAGACCCCATACTGGAAAATGCTATCCACATCCAAAGAAACAACTATGGAATTCTAATGCGGATCGAAGCATACTATTTGCTATTTTTTTCTCTTCTGTTGAGTTTTGTTTCTTCTTTCTGGTGGTTCCTCCTATTGGTTCTAATTTTTACTTACAACATCATTAATCTGAAAATATGTTTAATAAGAATGCATATATATAGCCTATATCAGATTGTGCACCATCTTGGGGAGGGTGGTGGGGAGGAAGGGGGAGAAAAATTTTAAACTCCATAGCATAGGGAAGTGATTGTTGATAAATTAAAATAAATTAATTTTTAAAAAATTAAAAAAATAATAAAATGATGGGGTTAGACTAGATAGCTTCTTATGTAATAAGTCCCTTCCAACTCTAAAACTACAATCCCATGATATTTACTTAGTGGTTTTACTGAAAGTAAATAGAAATGAGGAAGTTATAAAATCATCTTTATTAGAGAAGCCCTGATGAAGACCCAGGGTTTTCATCAGTTTTAGGTGTGAATCCAAAGGGTTTTCACAAAAGAAATAGCTTTTTTTTGCAGAGTTTAAAAGGTAAATGAATACTTAGATCTCTCTCTCTCTCTCTCTCTCTCTCTCTCTCTCTCTCTCTCTCTCTCTCTCTCTCTCTCTCTCCTTCCTTCTTCAGTCCTTCAACCATTTGAAAACACTTATCTTATGCCTTCTCTTCCCCCACACCAAACATCCATAGTTCCTCTAATCTGTCTTCACACTGCAGGGTCTCTAGTCTCTTCACTGTCCTGTTCCCTGGTTTCTGGACAAGATGCAGTTTGTCCGTGTCTTTCCTAAAATCTCTGTTTTACAGATGCTGAAAACAGGGTTCACAGAGTGAAGTTTCTGGTCCATACAACTAACTATTTAATAGCGCTATGATTAGAACCCTGCATTTATTAAGCATCTACTATGTGCCAAGCATTGTGCTAAACACTGGATTTACAAAGAAAGGCTAAAGACCATCTCTATTTTCAAGGACCTCATAGTCTAATGGGGGAAGACAACATGAAAACAACTATGTGCAAACAAGGTTGTTTGTATACAGTTGGACTCTTAGCCCGATGCTTTTTTCCCCAAAAACTCCACTGCCTGGAATGAGAGTTGATTCATTCCTCATTAGAAAGAATGAACACATCACCTTGATCAGTTGTGGTTAACCTGTGATTTTGTCAGTGTAGGAAGCTCTAAAAGAGGACCATCCTCTTCCAAGGCAGATCAACGCTTTCTCTATAATTTGTCATGGAGCAGCTATTCTTAACCTGGGGCCCATGAATTTATTTTTTGAAAAGACATGTTATAACAATTTCAATAAAACTGGTTTCCTTTGTAGTCTTATGCATTTTGTTTTATACACTAAAAACATTGCTCCCAGAAGGGACTTACAGGCTTCATCAGACCACCCAAAACTTACAGAATACAACAAAAATGAAAAGTTAATAACCCTAGTCTTAGGGAGCTGCCAGGGCCACTGAGAGGTTGATAATTGCCCTGCCCCAGCCAATAAGTGACAGTCATGGTTTGAAACCAGGTCTCATTGACTGACTACAAGTCCTGCTCTCTGCAAGCCACTCTACACTGACGCTCAGATTTGACTTTTGTGTAAGAAATGACCACAAATAGTTATATGTAACCCTTGGATAAGGGCACCTGTGGCATAAAGTAAAAGGGCTTTTGGAGGGAAGGAGGCACAAATTTAACATTCCATAATACTTATTAAATTAAATTAATTAAAATTTAAAATTAATTAAATTAATTAAAATTTACATATGCTCATTAGCCTTTTGGATTACATTTAAATATCTTGCTTTTTTTCTTATGCATTCCAGAAGGGGACTGGGTCTAAAAGAGGAAACAAAAATTAATTACTCTAGTTTTTTTCCCAAGGAAATCAGATGTGTTTTATGTCCCTTTTGTACTTCATCTGCATAGAAAGAATTGTTACATTTAAAATCCAGGGGACAAGGTCAAACTTTAGCCCACCAAACCATGTCATAAACTAACATTTCGTAATTTCTACCTGTATTTAATGAATGTGTATAATTTCTTTCAGAGACGTCTTCTTTGGGCCGAAGATCTCTTTTGTGATCCCTTGCAACAACCAGTGAGAATCTTCATAACGGCTGCATGTTATAGTCTATAGAGTATAGGATACGGACCGGAGATTACCCAGGTTCGAATTCTGGTTCCAGCTTTTCATAACTGTGATCCTGAGGAAACTGCTTAATCTTTTGGAGCCCAAGATGCTAATCTATAAAATGGAAATAATAGAACCTACCTCCCAAGGATATTATAAGGATCAAATGAGATCAAATGCTTTGCAAACCTTAAAGTGCCATATATATTCTAGAGCATATCCCCAACAAATCTATACAATAATAATAATAAAAAAATCAACTGTTATGAGAGGTTGCTTCTATTCAATACCTTCAGGCAAGATGTAAATCCCTAGTTGTCCAGGGCAAAAAGTTTGCCAGGCTAGTGGCAAACAAACAAATAGACTGATTTCATCTTTCCCCCTCCTCGTGGATACTGATAGCAGACTGATCTTGCAAAAACAATTTTATTGAAGCCTTTTGCTTTTACATCATAGTCATTTCCAAATATATTTCTCTTCCCCCTACACACACACACACACACACACACACACACACACACACACACACACA